TACCGCTGCTACCGCTGCTGCCCTGCCTGTTGCTGCCGCTGCTGCTGCCTGTTGCTGCCACCGCTGCTGCCTGTTGCTGCCGCTGCTGCCGCCGCTGCCGCTGCTGCCGCCGCTGCAGCCGCCGCTGCCGCTGCTGCTGCCGCTGCTGCTGCCGCTGCTGCTGCCGCTGCTGCTGCCGCTGCTGCCGCAGGGTTTGTCAAAGGATGCCACAACTACGCAACACAAGATCATCTTGCTCAATCGGGTTGAGTAGCTGCACAATACTTGCTAGGAGTTTGAAGACCCAGGGATGAATAGCTGGCATGCTGGTAAAGTGAGTTCAGCTGCAGCAACGGCGAGGCACACCAGGTATTGCATGGCTGGTGACATGACTGGCGCTGAGTCCGGCACCTTGGTACCATGGCCATCTGACTGTGCTGCTGTCGCACTGCACGCGTGTGTTTAGCTGCTGCATGAAGCATTGGGAGCGTGGACGCCGCACTGGGTGCACTGGCTGCAGCTTTGCAACACATGGCGGCGGAGTACGGTAGCGGACGGTGGGCGGTGAGTTGCCCTGCTGGCTATCGCGCGTGCTAATTATCCCTGACTTGCAAGAACAACAATACTGATCGCGGGTTGTATCATAAAGTTTATCATAGGATCACTTCGAAGGCGTGGTTTTGCCAAGGAGGCTTCAAACAACAATATACGTACCTCTTTTTGCGCTATACAGGGGTGAAGTCTTCATAGACATGACACTGCTGCCACCGGTGAGTGTACACCACTGCCATGCCCGTGACGACTCACGGACGTGACAGTACCCGCCGATACGCCGCTTGAATACAGCTGCGTAGTGGCACATCTAGTACAGGAGATTACGAAATCTCACATTAGATCGTCCCCACATCATTAACTGTTTGTCAGAAAGTTACAGATCGCGTCGTGACTGCCATCCATGTCACAAGGTCCGAATAGAAATGTTTCGTGCACGTCTCAACAACAGGCAGGATTCACGTCAGGCATTAGCGCGACCTGCTACCACCGGCCTGGCGCGTCGCCGCCCGTTGGTGGTGCAAGTCCGCGCCAGCAGCAGCGACAGTGGCGCTCAAGGCATTCGAGGGGCGCTGACGGGCCTTGCAGCAGGTGCTAGGTCGTTGCTGACAAGTGCAGTGGCCAGGATAGAGGAGAACTTCGAGGTTCAGGGGGCTAAGCCGCTTGATGGCAGCTCAAAATCCGACAGAAGCGCCCAGGTGTCAAAAGAACAGCTGCGGGTGCAGCTTGTGGAGATGGCCCTTGTACAGCTGCGACAGCAACGCCCAGCCCTGGAGGCCGCTGTTGCGCATGCAGAGCAACGGCAGCGGCGCCTGTACCCGGGGGCAGCACCTGGCGCGGCTGCGGTGATCCAGGCATACTCGCGCGTGCAGCATGGCAGCTCCACTCTCCTCCTCTCAAGCTTGGAGGAGACCAGGGACGTGCTGGAAGCACAATCAGGCAACGCCAGGGATGACGTGTGGGAGCGCGACAAACTTGGTCCAGGGTTTCAGTACCTTCTCTGCTTTCTGCCGCTTCAACAGAGTGCCTCACGTCAGGCTGGCGGGGCCTGGGCTTCTGAGCTGCCTGTGGCCACGCTGCCGCTGCCGGCGCTGCAGGACCTGTTCATAGCACCCTCGGCTAGTGCCCAGCAGCAGCAGCAGCAGCAGCAGCAGCAGCAGCAGCAGCAGCAGCAGCAGCAGCAGCAGCAGCAGCAGCAGCAGCAGCAGCAGCAGCTGCCAATTGAGGAGGAGAAGGGGGAGGACAAGCCGGAGCAGCAGCTGTTTCAGATGGCCCTGCAGACGGTATTGGGCGAGCTGCGCGAGCTGCCGGCGGCAGGGGACGTGCCAGCTGGCTTCCTAAGCCCCCAAGGCATCAGGTGATGACTCTCTCATGAGAGAGTCAACAGGGGCAGAAACACTCCCATGCGCCAAGACCTGCGTGTGGAACGTCTCCAGAGCATGCACACACTTAGAGAGCCCAACGAAGTAGCATCAAGCATGTGCATTTGCCTGTCCACGCGCCGCCCTGCGCACCGAGAGCTCTCTCCAAGCGGCGACCCTGCCGGCGCTTGCTGTGCATGCAGCAGCAGACAGCCAGGTTGCTCCACCCTGACCATCGGCCGCAGTTCTGCCTGGTCTACCACGAACACTGCCGCCATCGCCGCCGAGACTTTCATGACAAGAACGGCCTTGGGGATGTTCGGCTCGCCGGGTGACGCAGCAGTTGGTGATGATGTCACCGCAGCCTGCCGCTGGTCTGCATCGCGCACTGTCGTCGCCCCAGTCCTGCTCGAATCCGCCGGCACGGCGTCGCTCGCGCTCCTCCCTGCCGCGGTCGCTGCAGAGGCGCTCGGCGCGGCTGCGGCCCTCGCGTGGCGACGGCTGCTGCCGGGCGCTGCGGAGGCCGGGGTGCCCATGGCAGCGGCGTTGAACGAGGTGCGAGAGGCAAATGCACTCGGGAGCCTACGCGCGTGCCAAAGGGAGTATCGATAAGACTGGCCTCCGCAGCGGACAAACCTTGGACGAAACGCCGTTGCGCCGGATTCTGCAATTTCCAGTACATGCTGAGAAGCAGCTGCTTTTTGACTTCCAACTTGCAACTTGCAAACTCATTCTTTACACTTACACGATGTAGATGGCTGTGGCCCTCGGCGGCGCGGTGCTGGCGTCAGAGCAAGAGCGGAAGCAGTTGCACCTGAGCGTCGGCGCGTCCCTTGCGTGGGCGGCAGCGCAGGCCCTCAACTGCAGGATGGCCACAGAGCAGCCCTCCTGGTCGCCGCCAAAAGTGCGTAAGCTCCAACACTGGCGTGCGCGGCAGCAAGTCAGCGGCGCGTCGCGCGAGAGTTGGTCACGCGACAGACCCCGCACGCTCCGTTCAGCAGCCTGCCTGCACCAGACCGTGGTCATCGCCCGCCCTTCGCCCCTCCGTGCCTCCATTGCACCACGGCCCTGCGCACTGCGTGCGGCGCACCCGCCCACGCGCTGGCTTCGGATCCTGTGTTCACTGTTATAGGGGACGCGGCAATTCGCCGAGTTGCTGGAGAGCTTCCTGTTTCCAAGGGGTGTTGACTACCACCAGTGGCGCCAGGACGACGGGCCCCACAGCTCCTCCCGGCTGGAGGTGGCGTCCCCCTTGGTGGCTTTCGACTCGCTGGCGGCGCTGGCGGAGCACCACCACAGGTCAGGACAGCACAACGCACCGCAGCAGCCGCCAAGGGCCCGGGCCGCGATCAGCGAGCTGCAGCCTCTTCGCCCCCGCTGACCTGCTGGGTGCGACGCCCTTGTTGGTGATTGCCCTGTCAAGCCACCATTGCCAGGTCGCGGGCTAGCGCCGCGCTCCCTTGTACTCCGCGGCCGCAGGTGTGGGGACACCATGCGTGCGCTCTTCTTTGCGCGTCACGGCCTGTGGGCCTGGTACGCGCGTGTGTCCACAGGACGCGTTGGTGACGCGTTCGAGGTGAGAACAAGATGTTGGAGCAACAAAATGCCCCCTATGCTGTTGCGCTGGACGTGGCCCCGTGGCAATTCCTGCCTGATTGGGTGGCCAGTGAAACTGGGATTGCGCTGTATGTGCGGCAAGACCCTAGACCCCAAACCCTAAACCCTCATTCAAATGGCAAAAACACGCAGGAATGCGGGGGTCTCGCACCCTTTGCACAAATAAGATTGTAATTTAGCCCTTTATTTATCTGAGACTCAGGTTTCAACGAGCCGCTTAGCGTAGCTCGGGCGTCCTCATCACGCGCAGGAGGTGGACGAGCGCGCCGCCTGCCGGCCCTTCTTCCACATGTGGCGCGACGCGTACGGGCTGGCGGCAGAGGGCTATGCGCCAGACGAGCTGCTGGAGGTGCCCAGCTCCGTGTGGCTATGCAGGTGCGTGCGTGCGCGCGTGTGCGCGCATGCAGGCGTGCGTGTGTGTGCGACTGCGTGGGTGTGGCACGTGTGCGTGCGTGTGCGCAGCTGCGCACGCACGTGAGCGCGTGTGTGTTCCCGCGTCTGGCTCGTGTGCGCGCATGTGCACGTGTGCTTCACAAGCTGATGTGCGTATTGTATACGTTTGCGGGAACCGTTTGTTTGCAGTTATGGGTGGGCGCGTGTGTCCACACGGTATGTGTGTTGAGTGCGTCCAGATTATTGCAGGTGGTGCGTACGATTCTGTGTGATTCTTGTGCAGTTAAGCCTCTCACTGGTTCAGGGCAGCATGTTGCAGCCCGGGTGAGGCGCCCCATATGCCCGCATGTGTAACACCTTCCCCAAGCAAGACCGTGTAGCAACAATTAAGGTGGGGCTGCATCCAATTGGATGCAGCTTCACCTCGACTGGTGCTACAAAGCGATGCTTGGGCAGGTGTCATACTTGAAGGCATGGGGCGCCTGCATGGCATGCAGCACGTGTGCTGGCAACTGCCGAGCTGGTTCTCACAATCCTGTCACATCCCCAATTCCCACTATCCATCCAGGCACTACCAGCGCCTTGTGCAGCGCTTCATGGCTCTCCAGCTGGAGGAGTGCGGGGCCCTGCCGTACGGCGAGGGCTGCCTCGGGCCCGCGGCCTGGGAGGCGACGCGCTCCGCGATAGAAGCGCGCTCATGGCGGCCGGCAACCAGGCCAGGGGTGCGCACCGGAAACAGAGGTCGGCTGCACCCCAGAGGGCTGCCTGAGGCAGGCGGTCCGATGCAGCGGTCTGCAATCTCACGAGCACGCATTAATCAAATGCATGTACGAGTGCCTACATACGCCATCCCTCCCTTGCCAGCTCCAAGCCTTCAGCACACCCACAGGCTGTGCCCCGCACGACCCCCCCTGTCCCCCTCAAGGAGCCGGCACCTGGGCTGTTCAGCTACCCGTCAATTGCTTCAATCAGCGAGTCTATTGCGGCAAACCCGGACTTCAGTATTCACACCGCATTCTTGCGGGTCCTCAGCGTTGCTTCCAGACACGCAGCTCACCCAGGGCCGGGTGAAGACCCATGGTGGGGCTGCGCAAGAGGGGGCGGGATTGGGCAGAGGGCGTTCCAGGGGGGATGCAGAGCCGCCTTTTCCTCTCTGATCCAGGCGTTTGGGCCTGCCGCATGCAGCTTGGCACGCCAGGCGCGTGCGATGTTGGTGTAAAAGGCGTGCGCGCGCTGCCCGTGCAGCTTTGATGCCCACTCAGTGCACAGGCACCTTCGCCTGCCGACAGGCATGCTCTCATGCTGACATACTATGTGCGACACACAAAGAGCTTGTGAGGTACTCATTCTCACATCCGGCCGCCCTGGATGCGCGGATAAGCGCTCACCGACACGCCCGCAATACTCAAGCGTTTGCCCTGCCCTACCTGTAGGTGGCAGTACATCGCCGCGCAGCTGGAGATTGAGCGGCGCGCCGGCACCTCGGGCGAGCTGGCCCAGCGGCTGCTCCTGCCGACGTCGCACTCATTTTCTGTGCCTCGCGACAAGCACAGGTGTGCACCAATGCAGCCACTTGCCCTAAGCGTCCTGCAAAGGTCGACTTCCGTCTTGCCTTGCGCCTTCTGCACCGTCACTGTGGTTGTTTCTGCACTGCAGTGGCAATCCGCCGGCCTGCCAGGCTTTGGCCTGCGTTGCTCGACGTGTGGCCGTTGTGGTGATGGCTGCGCAGACAAATTCATCGGATTTTGTCATCGGTAACTTGATTATTGATATGTGAACACTACCCACATCTGAGCCCATGCTCCCGCACTCGCTACTCGGCCCCTGCACAATGGGCCTCGCGCCGCAGCTGGGTCCTGGAGCCGCGCTCACACCTCCAGGCGGGCGTGCCGCCGCGGCTGCTGCCACTCCTCAAAGCGACCTTCGGCGACAGTCGTGCACAGGCGTCCATGGGTGTGCAATTCTCTTTTGATCGGTGCGCCACAGATGGCCGGTTTGCGGGGTTCACGACGACCACCAGCGGCCTCAGAGTGGGGGCCGCACTGGACCTAGTGACCTTGCGACTGGGGCACGCTCCGCCCAGCGCGGCCGGCAAGGCGCGGATGTGGCTGGATCTCGACCTCTTTGAGGCGGTCTTGGTCATGGAGAGGGCACGAGGCTCGGGGTTCAACGGCTCGCTGGCAGCCAAGCTGCTCGCTGATCTGGCGCCGGCTGCCGCAGCAGCGGCCCATGCAAACGGCGCGCACGCGGGCGGCGCCGCGGCGTCCCTTACAGAGGGCGAGCTGCTGTCTCTGCGCTGCGCGGGCGCCTTAGCTGCTTGCGAAGAGGCGCCGCTGGACGAGGCCTGAGCCCGCTGCGCACGCCTGACCGCAGCCGTCGCGGCCGCAGACGCGGCGGGGCGGCTCTCCGAGGCCGAGGCGGCGCGGTGCCGCGCGCTGCTTGACATGTCAGTGGCGCTGCTGCCCGCACGCTGGGAGGCGCTTCCGGCGGTTTTCGCAGCGCCGGCGGCGCTGTACGAGCGCGGACCGCTCAGCACGACCTACTACCCTGGGGCAGCACAAGTGCACCAATCCGCGCTGGAGGGGAGCATTGACGCGGCCCTGGTGCGCGTGCGCCTGATCCACCCGGCTACTACGTAGTCAATGCTGGATGACGAAAGCAGTGTCAAACCACGGCGTCACACAAGGGCGTTGGCACGCTCTTGGAGCAGCGCGTATGCCGGCGGCATTTTGGTTCTTAGCCACCTGTGCCCTCAGCCACCAACACGGCCGCTCCCATCACCCCCAGATCACCGCCGTCGACCCACACGCCGCACGCCCACCTTGATTCCCGCCCAGGCACTCTTCCGCCGCGCCCCTACAGCCCTCCTCACCGGCCGCGGCCGCCGCCCCGGTTCGTGGCTGTCGTGGCTGCGCCGCACGGCCCTCAACTTCTGGGCTCAGAAGCTGGCCGTTGACGAGGACGCGGCCGCACTGGAAGGCTTGGTTGTGGAGTTTAGGTGCGGCGTCGGCGTGTGGGGCAACAAGGGCGACCAGCGGCAGGAGATGAAGGCCCTTGATAAGGCCGTGATGACCCTGTTGAGAATCCCAGGCACTCCGCCCGCAGTCGCGGGCGGCGGCGACCGCGGCGGCGCGGGCGTTGCCAGCGCCCTGCGCCTCCTGTCCGGGCTGCCGGGGCCGCTGCCGCTCACGGGGTCCCTCATTATAAGCCAGGCGTGTGGCGTGGCCGGCGGCCGCAGCGGCAGCGGGGGCCTGGGCGCGGCGTGGGAGGCGCTTGCAGAGGCCACGACGGCGGTGGCAGGGTGGGGCGACGAGGAGGCGTGTGATTTGGCCGCGGACCAGCTGGACGCAGAGCTCACTAAGCTCTTGGCAGGCAGCCAGCAGGAGCAGGAGGAGTGGCCAGGACAGGGCAGCGAGAGGGCGGCACGGGCGCTCATCATTGCTCGGGCATACGAGCCGCTCGGCCGCCACCCCTCCCCAGAGGTTGCGCAGGCGCTGCTCCGCGCCGCGCCCCGCCTGGCGCCGCTGACGCGGCTGATCCGCCGCCGCGGAGCCGGCGGCGCGGGGCTGGCCGCGACTCTCGTCAGGGCCGCGGGCGACGTGGGGCGGCAGGAGCTCAGTGTACAGCTGCTGCGAACCGCCTGGCGCGGCGGGCAGCTGACAGGGGCGCGCCTGAGCGAAGCCCTGGCCGAGCTGGTGCTCGCCTCATCGCAGCAGGGCGATCATGCTGCGGCGCTGCGCCTGCTGCGCCTCGCGCGAACTGGGAAGCTGGAGTCATTCCCCGGCATGCGGCGGCCGCCGCTGCCAGGCGCACCCGTGCCGCTGCCGGCTGGTGTCACCGCGGCGCTTGTAGCATCCCTCAAGGCGGCCAAGGGACGCGCCTTGTCGGCAGCGCCAGGGCCGGTGGCCGCGGCGGTTGTCAAGGCCTTCGACTGCCTTTGTCAAGCGGCCGGCGGCGACGCAGCAGCCGTCGCTCGGCTGGATGGGGGGACGATCGACGGAGTGCTGGGGGCCTTGGCTCAGCAGGGCGACCACGAGCGCGCCTGGGCGCTGGTGGCCGCCGTAGGTGGCCCCCGCACCGATCGGGGCGCCCGCGCCCTCGCCGCGCTCATGGCGTTGTGGGGCGCGCTGCCCACCTCCGCCGCCCTGCCATCGACGGCTGTCCTGCAGAGCGCGGCGGAGGCCGCGGCGCGCGCGGGTGGCGCAGTAGGAGATGCGCGGCGTCTGCTCAGCCAGTTGGCGCGCTCCGCAGGCAGGGCGGACGGCCCTGAGGCTGCCCTGGCGCTGAGCGATGATGCACTCTCGTCATACTTCGTGGCTCACGTGACCGCCGGCGACATCGGCCGCGCGGCGGCGCTGGCGACGGCGATTAGGGACGGCGGCCGCCAGCTTCCGCCGCAGACGTGGGCGTGGGCGCTGCAGGGGTGCCCAGCCAGCGGGGAGGGCCAGGACGCAGCTGCAAGTGAGCTCATGTTGCTGATTGCGCACGAGAGCCTGGTTACAGAGGCGCGGGCGGCGGTCGCGGATGCGACGCGGGAGGGCGAGGAAGGCGGCAGCGGGCGCGCCGCCGCGCTGGGCCGGGCGCTGCAGTGCGCGCTGTCGTCGTCGGCAGTGCACGATGACTGGTTTGCTGCACGCACCGCCTCTGCAGCCTCCGCCCGCGTGGCTGCCGCTGCAGCGGCGGATGGCAGGAGGACGCAGAATGCGAGCAGCTGCGCCTCGCGGTCGGCTGGGAGACGGTCGCACGCGCCGCGGCCGAGGCGCGGCTCGAGCTCGCCGCCTGCTGCGCCGCCGCTGCCGTAGACGCTCCCGGCAATTGGTTCCAGCTCCCCGACGGCGCCGGCGGCCCGGGACGTGGAGGCCGCGGCGCGGCGGCTGGCGCTGCTGCTGTGCTCGGCTGCGGGGCTGCACGGGGCGGTTTTGGATCTGTACCAAGAGTACCGGCAGGCAGGGGGGCGCCTGGATCTCGAGGGCGGCGTGCTGGAGGCGGCGCTGGTGGCTGCAGCCGCAGAACCCGAGCTGGCGGTCGGGTCCGCGGGTGAGCAGAGGGGCGAACAGCAGTTTTCAGCTGCACCGCGCATGTAGACTTGTGAATGGACAACCTGTCGGTGTCGCGGCAAGCCCTACGCGGGATGCGCATGCAGGCATTCCCACTGGGCATGTGCGTGCCCCCCCCCAGGCTGACGTGTCCATGCCTTCTCTGCTCAACACTCGTGCCCCACCATGCCCTCCCCCAAAACCCCCAGCCCCAGCCTCGATTCTGGTGACCGCCCAAAAGCTCTGCCCGGATGGCGCCACCTGGGCGCCCCGCAGCCCCACCGCCTGGCCCGCCTTTGTCCGCGCCCGCGCCAGCCACGGCGCTGGGG